AAAAATACAAAAACCAAAAGAAAAAGTTGTTAACTAAGATACACCTGAAGATAATGAAAATAAACTTGTTGGGAAGAAAATACATGGATTTACTTATGAAGGAGGTATTTATTTGATGTGAGCCCTGAAAATACAGAAAATTCTTTGGCAAATCTAATATTTTGAAATGGTGACATAATCATGACCGAATTTAATGACATAATTGGTGTTTGCTAAAACTGTGATGTATGGTTTTAGAAGTATATCCTTTATAGATACATTTGGCATGTGGATTCTTGGACTTAAAGGAAGAAATCGTGGGTGGATGAATTCTTAGCAAATCTTACATATGAGGAATTCCCAAAGGCCCTTACGGGCATCTAGTGAATTACACCTGAGCCCCAGCAACACCTTGCAGGCAATCCAGACAAAAACACAAAAATAGCAACTTCTAGAAATGAAAAACAGGTGAGATTGTTCAAAATTTGGTGAAAGAAAAATCAAAGTGACTGACAAATGTGGACAGCCGTTGCAAACTGGGAATGATGTCACAAGATGTGACTCTGTGACAATGCGGGGTCACCGACCTTGGAGGGGGGATGATCCGCGGCAGGAAGCTGCCACGCCCCTCTCGCCGGGCTGGGACTTCAGTGGCTCGTGCTCATGGAGCAGCTTCCTCTCCAGAGTCTCCAATCTTCTGTGACTACTATTTTCCTGTCTCTGGAACATATCTTGATCACTGTAATTAATGACATAGAATTTATTTCTAAACCTTTCACTCAATAGACCTATTTTCTGGGCACATATATTTGGAAAAATCAAAGATAACTACACTAAATCCCGACAGATGGGGATGAAGCAGAGGATGTAGTCTTACATTTATTACTGAAAATGTTTGTGGAATCCTGAGGCCATCTTGATCTGTCCACAGAGTAGTTTCTGAGAGCCTCTTTCATGTGATTATTGCGTGCTTTGAGGAATGGTAAGTGTTTGAGTACAGGCTTTGCTTGGAGGACCTGACAAGACATCAGTGGCGTGCTCAGGAGGGACGCCGTCACCGGGCTTCGGTGTTTGTGGTTTGCTCCAATTAAATGCTGGCACCTGAGCGGGGCTCCCAGGAAGAACTGCCTTCCAGTGCAGTCTTGAAGATTGCAATGGGCACATCCTGCTTCTATTTTATCCCTCTTTCCCCAACTGGAGAAGGAGTTTAACGGGAGGCTCAGTGAGTATGTAGTCCAGTGTCAGAACGTCCGGAAGCTGCTGTCTGCAGAGACTCTTCAGATGCAACGTGGGAGGGATGTCCGGTGCAGATGCCACTCCAGCTTAGACCTGCCCCACTCTGATCAGAGTGGGACCAGCAATCATAAATGCTGTTTTCTTTTTTAAATTGTTTTTTTATTTCAGCGTAATAACACACAGTGGCATATTACCTTCAGGCATACAGTAGAGCTATCCCGCAAATCTACACATTACTCAGTGTCATCACCATATATGGACTCTTAATCTCCTCGGTGCTATTTCTTTCAACATTAAAAGAAAAACTGACTACCAAACCAAATCCCAACTCCATTTTAAAACACATTTAAATTGCTTATTTTATCTTACTTTTTAAAAATATGTTTCTTTTATTAGAGCAAGGCTCAGTCAATAAAATTACTAGCCAAATTAGAAAGACCATTTTCTTCGATGAAAAAGTAAAAGGCTCACCATATTTTAAGTAATAAAACTGAGTTCTTCTATTATAATACTCAGAGAATCATGAATATGTACCTTTAAACTAAAACATTCAGAGTCTTACCCCAAGGCACACTTACAAGATCCTTAGAAGCAATAAAAAGGCACCTTTCCTCTTAACTACAGTAGCCACAGTTAATTGAAAAGGCGATATAAACACAGGCTGGTAGGGAATATAAAAATTCCATCTTTTCAACAAAGAAACAATATAGTCACTGAGCATAATTTCCACTTTAATTCAGGGAAGCAGAATATTTGTTCTGAAGTTAAAAAATTAATAACAAGAAGTATAAAACCTTTCTGCTAGGAAACACACATGAATTGAATTAAGTTGTCAACTTTATCAGTACTTAACCTCCAGATGTCCGGAGAAAATAGGCAAAAAAGAAAGTATTTATTTCATGTAAAGTATATAAGATGGAATAAAAGTTATTATGGGTGTACCATTAAATATCAGAGGGTGGCTGAGGCAAACATCGCTGACGCCTTCCCCCTCGGCTTTTCCAATAGAACTCTCATTTTGTCCCCAGCGGCAAATGCACGGCTAGAAGTCTGAAGCCAGGGATGCCAAGGACAGATGTCAGCGGAAGGACACTCATGGGAAGTCTACTGGATGGGCCCAGGGAGCTGTGAATGCCACATTCAGCAGGCACAAAACTGTGCCTGTGCCCTCCGCCCCCGCAGTTTCCACTGGCACACACGCAGATGCGGGGGCCCGGTGGCAACGTGCCGGAGCCAGCCTCACACTGGGATGGCAGAACGACCCCGAGGGGGCTGACTGCGTCAGTCTGGTCCGTGTGGAGCCTGTCCATCTGCTCGTGACGGGAGGAAAATGCCTCCTGCAACACTGTGACCTGGCTTTCTATTCCGTTTCTTATAAATGAAGTCAATCCCCCAGGATAAAATTCCCATATTTCCGTCCTGAGGGAGTTTCCCTTTGTAAGGAATGACCTGCCATGTTTACCCCAATACGTGTTGTTCGGGGTTTCAGGTTCAAGTTTCCCTGTCCTTGATGCTTTTCTGAGGGGGGGATTCAGAATGCCTTGATACAAAACAGTCCTAACACATGTTTGAGTTCATAATGCCATCAACTGAATGCCTGTTTTGCACCAAAGAGGTCACATTGTCAGTAAATGGTGAAGCATTCCCTTCTGTTGGTACAGTATGGTCTGTGCTCTCGCTCAGTCGGATGTGGCACGCTAACACGCATCCCCTTCTGCCGCACCTGTTCAGCTGTGCCACTGGACGCTGAGCATTGCTAGCAAGAGGTGCAGGGCCACTTGTGTGCTGGACTGTGGTCCAGGTGGCCGGTCTTCCCTATGTAAGTAGGGCCCGGTATCCACACCCTGCCATGGCCTCCTGGTGGGCAGCATGCCTTTCCCTGCCTTGTGACTCGCTCTGAGCCACGGGATGGGCACTGGCATGTAGACATGGGCAGACAGGTCACAAACTAAGGCCTGAATGCATTTGTGTGGTGGGGTTTATCGTGCTTCACGCACAACCATGCAGGAACATGCCCCTGATGACCGACAAGTCCACAGAAGGTGAGGGAATGGGGCAGACCTGCACCAAGTGTGATGCATACAGGAGAGTCAAGCTGAGCCCAGACTGGACTGCCAACCCCAGCCAACACGAAAAGTATGAACAGGAATAAACAGGGGCTGTTCTAAGCCCTGAGTTTTAGAGTGGCTTGCCCACAGCATATCAGTAAAGATGGCTAAAATAACTTTTGAGAGTGAAGAAATACCAAAAATGGCTAAATATCTAATTAGTTAAAAATGCTCTTTACAATTTCGGTTTATGTAGTATTGTGTGATTAGGGAGAAAACCATCATCACCATCATCACCACCACCATCACCATCATCACCATTATCACCACCACCTTCACCATCATCACCATTATCATCACCACCATCACCACCATCATCACCATTATCATCACCATCAACACCACCACCATCACCATCATCACCATTATCATCACCATCATCACCATCATCATCACCATCATCATCATCACCACCACCACCATCACCACCATAAGGCCCTGACCGTAGTGCCACTTGCATTCGTACATTCTGGGGCAGCTTTGTTGCTTGCATGATGTCTCTGTCTCCTTGGCAGTTTATGATTATGTCAGTCATTTCTGCACATTGATTAAAAAAAAGCTGATGCCTTTCACCTGATAACTTTAAAAAATTCCAGGTGTAACATTCATGGGCCTGATTTGTAAGTCAGTCAGTACACTTCTAAGAAATCCCTAACTTGGAAGTTTTTGACAAGGATGCAGGAGACCATTTTTAAACATGAGCAGAGCTGGGGAGGGAGGCATCTATCGCTAAAAGCAGCCGCACTAGGTTTGTAAAGGAAAGAGATTTCTGTTTTAGATTTTGAAATCTTTATGCTCTACAATAAGAACTGTCTGCTCCAGCCCACGCTCATCGGCTCACTACCTTCTGGGCCCACCTTGACTCTCCTGTTTGCCTGCCTTTATTTGAGCTCTTTCAGCTCCCGTGAACCCCTTATCCTCTCCTCCCTGCTCCAGAATCCGGTCCAGGCCCCACCCCATCCACAAGCATTTCCCGAGGGCTGCGTTTCCCCTAGCTCCATTCCCAGCGTGGTCTTGACTGCACGGCTGATTTGCTAAGATGAGTTTTAAAAGATGACTCTTTTCTGAGTAGAGAAAAATGTGCAAGAGTAAAAACTTATCAGAAGGGAGGAGAGAATTCTAAAGGAAGCATGACTGCTTAAGACGCTTCTGCAACGGTCCAACTAAAACGTAAGAGCCTGGCCTAGGACGGGGCCCTGGGACTGGAGAGAAAGGGAGGGCTGACAGCCGCCAGGTTTCTGGCGTGGGGCCGTGTGAGTAGCAGCAGCTCTGAATAAGGACCTTCTTTGTTCCTTATGTTGCCTGCCGTCTGCCGTAGCACCTGGCAGTAGGAGGTGAGTGAGTCAGTACCTGGTCAGTACTCAGTGCTCAGTCAGTACTCGGCGAGCGAGTGACTGCTTCCCATGATAGGACCCAAAATTACATCCTGTGTGTCAGGCCCTCAGCACGCACAAACCCGCTCACATAGTCTTCACCCGGAGGTGCCTGCCGCCACCCTCCCTGTTTTATGGAGCGGGCCTAAAGCACAAAAAGTGAAGTAGCTTGTCCCAAGTCACACAGCCGAGGGGCAGAGCCAGGATTCATTCACTCCAGCCCTTTGCCTCATGACGTAGACAGCTTGAAGATTCAGCAAGTCTAAGAGGCTGTCTTTTGCTGGAAAGAAAACAGTAAGCAGAGTTTTGATAGCATATATTTTATTTGAATCTAAGAAAAATGATTAAATTCAAAGTTCAGAAATATAAAGGATTATCCAATAAATTTAGGATCATAACTGTTTCTTAAACAATGATGACACACACTTAAGCTGGTTTTGTGGCTCCAAGGATTCAGGTTTTACTTTCGCACAGTTTAAATAAGAAGCCTCATAAAATATCTTCATGCATATGCACAGAGATCATTTTACACGACGTGTGTTAGGGAATTGGGGGCCATGAAGGTTATTTGGAGCTGAAACAGCATCACTACTTGGCCCACACAGCCCTCGGCCCATCCTCCAAATGGCTCCATCGAGCCTGGGGACGCTCGCTGGTGCCCGCTGGGTGTGTCTACGGGCCAGTCCTGCTGCTCACAGCGTGGGCATTCGGCTCCTGACCCTGTTCTCACAAGCACCACTCAGGTGAAATTTCCTGAGGCCATCAGGAGAGAAGGAAGCTTGGGGCCTGTAGGCACTTGTCCTTGGCCGCCAAGATGAGCGTCCAGCGCACAGCTTATGCAGGCTGAGCCTTCTCTAAGGAGGATATCCCAAATTGGTTCAGGTGATCTTTTGACCTTCCAGTAGGCCCCAGAGTGGACCAGGGTAGGACGGGTAATGGTCATGTGTAAGAGAAGAAGCCAGGCAGACAAGCACAGGCATGGTCACACTAGGACTAAATCTACTGCCTGTTTACGCTGCCTCTGGACAGCCGGGGTAATTCTCTAAACTTTCCGGCGTGATTAATCCGAGCCCAGGGCAAAGCTCAAACAGAAGCTTGGAAAAGAAAAGCAGCACATCAAAGATAGGTGGACAAATGGTCTTTCCTACCAGGAAAGATGGCTTTCCTACCAGTTACCAGATGGCTTAGTGGTTGCGTGACTCATGGCGTGAAAAAGATCTCTGGACAGCAAAACAAAACACACTAACACAAAATCCCAAGAAACAAACAAATCCATGCACTTGTTAGCGGCATGATGAGGACTGCAGCAGGTGGCAAACTTCTACGGAAGCTTCCGACGTAGATTCAAAAATGCCGCGGGCACAGCGGATCTCAAAGGAAGCGAACGTGGCGTGACTAGGAGTGACTGCCCTGGGTGGGGAGGAAGGCACAGGGTTGGGACCACGGGGCCTGTGGCTAAGACTTCTACTATGTCAACATGTGTAGGATACAGAAATTAAGCTTAAAGCCATTCAAAACACATCTCCACCAGGTGCTGATTTCCAAGGTCAAAAGAGGACACATACATTGTATGTGATTAGTTTTCTGAAGCCCTTCCATTTCACAGATTAAAGCAGTCTGTTTAAATATCTCATTTCTACAAAGTGAATTTACATTTAAAGTACAAAGTGCAAATACTATGTGTTTTTGTTTTTTTTGTGTGTTTTGGTTTTTTTAATTGCTTTTTGGTGAGGGAGTCTCCCACATGTCTAGGACCGCCTTGAACGTGTGAGTCACTATCCTTGTTTCCTTGGCTGAAAAAAAAAAAGAAAGAAACAGAGACATCATTAGGAAGTCTCCACACCGCATCTGTGAAGACCGAGGCTTGCCTTCTGTGGATGACATAAGCCTACCTATGGTCAACAGGGCAAAAGCAATATTTTAAAAAAGACACAAAAAGAAAGAGTGCTGGTTTGATAATCTGGGGCGTGAGGATTAATAAAAACACAACGCAAACATTAACTTCCAACATTTCCCTCTGTCGCAAGTGATCAGGAATATCTGGAAAAACATACTGGCTGAGAAAATTAGCATTTGCTTTAAATATTTTAAATAGATTCAGTACATCAAATGTTCTGTGCAGTCTCCTGTCTCCTTGGATTTGTTATACAAAATAATCTTAATAATCTAATTTATGCTTCAAGTTTGATAAAGGCATCACTGATTTTTAATTTTTCTTTTCATCCGTTCCATTTACAAGTCTCTCTCTCTCTAGGAAGAAATGCAACTTGAAAAGTTTGCTAAATACTGGAATTCTGCACCCTGACTGCCAATTAAAAGTAATTTGGAATGAAAAGGAAAAGCGACCTACAATCTTCTAGATCTATTTTCCCAAGTGTACCGATTTGTATGATATCAATTGATCCCTGCTTTTGCTTCAGTATTTAAAATAATTACACTTAAACCTTTAGGAGGCTTCTGGGCTTGCTCTCCTCCCCTGACAAAGATACTAGTAGGTGCTCAGAAGAGAAAGGAGCGTATCTCCTGCATTGAGCTAATGGGAATTTCTGTTTTGATTTGTTATGGATAAAGATAAGCCATCAGCATATTCCTGGAAGTTCTGGAAGCAAGTCAGAACTGTTGGAGGAGGGGCGCCTGGGTGGCTCAGTGGGTCATGTGTCTGCCTTCCGCTCAGGTCATGACCTGGGGTCCTGCGATCGAGCCCCATGTAGGGCTCCCTGTTCAGGGGTGAGTCTGCTTCTCCCTCTGCCTCTGTCCCTCCCCCCAGTTCATGTTATCTCTCACCTTTCTCTGTCAAATAAATAAATAAAATCTTAAAAAAAAAAAAAGAACGGTTGGAGGAGATGGGGCTGACATTTTAGCCCACATCCACGTCGGCATGGGGGCACCGCTCTGGTCCCGTCTGAGTCCTGCCGGGAAAGAGAAACCTCAAGAAAGACAGCTAGCTCTCTGAATCAGTACCAGCTCCTGGGCCCTCCTAGCTTCCCTTTGTTCAATGTTTCTTATCTGGTTATTCATATAGTGAAAGATTTCAGTGCTTGGTACTATGTTTTACTCTTCAAAGAAACATCCACATATTAAGGAGGGCACGTGTTATGATGAGCACTGAGTGTTAGACGCAACTAATGAATCATTGAGCACTACATCAAACACTAGTGATGTACTATATATTGGCTAACGGACATAAAATAAAAACAAAGAAAGAAAGAAAGATCCACGGCCTTCCGTTATTTTATCCCGTGCAAGCCACAGCTGCTTTCGCAAGGGACTTAATCCCGGGGTCACAGTTTACAGTAACGGCTGGGAAGTCAGTCTATCCATCCGGACACCATAAAAAGAGCTGGAGAAACTGGCTCCTTTTTCTGGGAAACAGCTGACGAGGGAGGCTCGTGTCTTGAACAGAGTTTACTTACGGTCGAGAGCCCGGGTGGTGATCGTCACCACTGCGTAATGACAACCACCTGCGGGCACCTCAGCTGGGGTAACAGCTTTCAGACCTGCCCTGTTCTAAAGTGTAAGTGATTTGTGGTAGGATTTAAAAGTTAAAACTGTAAACACGTGCTAAACAAAGAAAACCCTATCACACATCGTTCCTAATGAAATGGTTTTAAATTACATCCAAGGTGTGCTTTGGAGGTCTCCACTTAAACCCTACAACAAACACAGGGCTCGCCTTAGGAAATGTCGACCTGACATCAAACAGGTGCAGACAAAATAAAGAACAAATTGGCGAGTGGTCCTAAGAAGGGAGGATTTTGCCTTGGCTTTGAGGGAGGGAGCAATGCATCCACTCCTGTTTACCCTCTGGAAAACATTCTCGACTTTGGATGGGTATGGCATGGGGTGCTGGGGAGAGACAGCATAATTATCTACTTTAATTGCACATGCAAAGATACGGGAGTCAGAAACACAGAAATATGTTTGTAAACACACACGGCAGGAAACTGGAAATCCCTTTTGGAGCAGAAGATTTGTCTCATTAAGATCCCCAGATGAAAAGAAAATGTTCACCTGAATGCCCAGAGGATCTCCTGTCCCTGCAATCTCCTTAACAAATTATAAGAAATAAATTGTAAATCCCTGGATAATTGTTTTAAAAAAAATTTCCACAAAACAACAGGACTTGAATTTTTTTCCAAAAATAACAAAATGATTGAAATTTCAAATAGTAAAAAAAAAAAAGACAAAATCTTCAAGTTGATGATTTTGATGGAATTTTGCAAGACTCTTCTTGGTCTCACAGGGGTGTGTGTATGACGGGTTGCTTCTCCTGGATGGTTTCTTTTTTGGGAAGGTACTTTACTTACCAAATCTACAGGACACTGAGTTTTCATTGTCTATAATTAAACCGGCAAATTATTAATGCTAAGATACAGACTATAATACTCACCTGTCTATTAGAAGCGCTTTCAGCATTAGCTCTAGGGGCTAACAGGGAAACAAAAAAAGACACTATTAAAAACCAAATACTCTCCAGCTAATGAAAGTCTCAATACAATTTTTCAGGAAGGGACCAAAATCACTTTAGGGAAGCCTCATCAACCGGCAACCTTACTGACATGAGAAAACACACACACGGGGAAACAGCACAGATCACCAGCAGCGGCTTATGTCACAGTGTCCACACTTTCTAACAGCACAAATGCTCACGTCTCACTGTAGAAGAATGTTTCGTTTTACCAAAACTTGCAAAGCACTGTCTACAAACCAGAGACCTGTCTCACCCACGCTGAACTCCCCCTGAGGACAGGAGGCCCTGGGCAGTGTGCTACCCTGGTTCTTCCACATCTTTGGGTTTTTTATTTAAATCACGAGAAACTAACATGTGTGGCTCAAAGTAATTTTTCCAAATCCTTGAGGGAGATGGAAGGTGGAGGGAGATGTGTGAGATGCATGGTGTTTGCCCCGTGGCCTCGCCACGTGGCCTGGGGTAGAAGAGCAGCCTCCCGCAGGCACTGCTGGGGTCCAGCCGCTCGGCACCTGTCTTCCTCACTGGAGTCCCTCCTTCCTGCCCGCTGGCTCCTCCGTCCCTTCCTGCCCGCACAGAGTGCCACCCCCAGCAACACGGAGCCACGCGAGGCAAGGCCACATCAGTAGAAGAAGGAGACGAACACAGAGGGGAAAGGAGTGAGTGTTTCTCAGCCACCACGCGTGGCGTGGTGTTCCCGGACAGTCGGGAGTGTTTAAGCCATTGGTAACAACGGGAACTGAGTGGTCAGGCGACCCCACGGACAACAGTCCGTCCGTCAGGCAGTATGTCTGGAAGGGACGCAGCTAGCGTGGCAATTTTCTCGAAAGGGAGAATTTGGTCAAAAATGAGTATTTCTTAATTGCTGAGTTTCTGTGTAATGGTCATTTTGGAGAATCATGAGGGAATGATGTAATGTTCTATGAATGTTTTTTCAGAAATATTTCCTTTCCTGGTTGTATCATTTCTCCATGGTTCCAGTTATTTTTTTTCTTTTCTGCTTTTTTTTTGTAATAGTGAAAATTTAGATCAGATTTTCCAATAACATATCTTAGTTGCAATACTTTAAACGGAAAATCTTGTGTAATATCGTAAATTAAGAGTGATTAGAAAGTACATGGGTGACTCCATTAAAAACTAATAATGTATTGTATGGTGACTAACATAACATAATAAAATAAAATTAAAATAAAAAAAAGAAAGTACATGGGTTATGACCCCATCTTGTAGTGAAACGTCATAACACACGCACATATTCGCGTACACACCCAGAAACATTTCAGGGGAAGATAACAGACTTGGGTCTGATTATGTCCAAGAAAAAAGTCACATGTGATCTGTTTTTTATTTAATTTCTCTGATTTTTTTAGAATAAAACATGCACTGCTAAGTAGTGAGTAAAGATGAAGGAAACAAAAGGCACTGGAAACAGTTTGCATATTCAGAGCCCCCAAAATAACCTGAATGCTGGGGTTTTTCTGGCTTTTCACCAAAAGCAATTTCAAAGCACACAAGGCAGGATGAAGGAACGAATTGAAAATTGAAAAGGAAAATATCAGTAGGAAAACAGAGAAATTCCTCCAGGAAAATAAGAGTTGCAAAATCCAATAATTATGAATCCAAATCCCCAAAGCTCATTTTTGACCAAACTGTCACTTCTACCAAATTTTAGCTGGCTTTTTTTTTTTTTTTTTTTTTGGAAGGGGGTTCATGAGCTCTCTTTGGTTGCTAATATGACTATAAAACTCAGATACATCCGTTGGCGTAGAGCGACCTGAGGAACCTAAGTGATGGATGTTTCTAGTGAAGGATGACGGTGTTAAGGGAGACCCTTCCCGGGCACAGGGGATGCACTCCCGCCCACTCCCTGTGCTGGCCCGGTGCACAGACGTGCCCTGGACCCTCTCAGGACATGGCCAGCAGCAGACCAGCTGCACTGCCTGGAACATCTGCTGCCCTGCGAGTGGGCAGGTCCCTCAGCCTCTGTGCCAACACGCACGTCCCAGACGGGCTTCTCTGCAGACCCACACCAGTGGGGAAGCCAGCCTCCAGCCTGGAGCAGGACAGTCCCGGCCCGCAGCCTGCCTGACCCCTGAGCTACAGGAGATGCATGGCCCTGGAGGATGGGCAGCGGGGTCCGACATCAGCCCAGTCACCGCACAGCCCGCTGTTTCCTGCGGAATCTGAACCCGCGCAGTCTCCACATTCGAGCTTCTGCTCCATGTCAACCAGGGCCACCAAGAAGGAGCCGAGCCCAAACATCACGGTCAAGAGCTGCTATTCTCCACAGTTGCGCAGAACGCCTCCCGAGTAACCGAGGAGGTCGACTTGTCGGGAAAGGGCCTGTCTATCCCAGTGAATCCAGTCACCAGGCCGGTTCTCTCCAGAGGAGGTACATCAATCATGCTTTTACTTTCTGATGCTTTCCCAGCAGGGGCCTTGCTGACCCCGGAGTGACTGCCCCTGTCAGGGCAAGCCAGTTCCTACAGACAGCAACACTCAGCCAGGAGCAAAGCAGTCTACCCACAGCCCCACACTCAACCCCTCTGTGGGGCTCTCCCACTCTGGGCCACTAGCCCCCCACTCTCATCACCCCAGAGCAGGGACCAGGCAGCTAGCCCCCCTCCCTCATCACCCCAGAGCAGGGACCAGACAGCTAGCCCCCCGCCCTCATCACCCCCAGAGCAGGGACCAGACAGCTAGCCCCCCGCCCTCATCACCCCCAGAGCAGGGACCAGACAGCTAGCCCCCTGCCCCCATCACCCCCAGAGCGGGGACCAGACAGTTAGCCCCCCGCCCCCATCACCCTCAGAGCAGGGACCAGACAGCTAGCCCCCTGCCCCCATCACCCCCAGAGCAGGGACCAGACAGCTAGCCCCCTGCCCCCATCACCCCCAGAGCAGGGACCAGACAGCTAGCCCCCCGCCCCTATCACCCTCAGAGCAGGGACCAGACAGCTAGCCCCTCGCCCTCATCACCCCCGAGCAGGGGCCAGACAGCTAGCCCCCCACCCTCATTGCCCCAGAGAGACAGCTAGCCCCCCGCCCTCATCGCCCCAGAGAGACAGCTAGCCCCCCTTACAACAATATGTGTTCGCCCAAACGAGGCTGTTCTCTGGGACATCATGCAGCTACGGTGTCGGTCAGGCCACCGCTTTCTCCAGTGGAGCGGGGTTGAACTGCTGGATTCTTAGGCGCCAGAGGGGCCTGAGGGATGACAGTGTCCCCAGTGCTGGCCACGACACCCGCCTGGTCTCCCTTCTGACATCCTGAGGACTGTACTCTGATGTCACTCCCACTGAGACCTCGGCTGAGCTCCTCGGCCAGTGCCCAGTGCTGCCTCCCTGGTCCCCGGGCCACACTTGCACAAACTGTCACACCCCAAGTTGTGCTCGGGCTCCTCTCCTATAAACTGTGAGGCCTGCAGGGGGAGCCACGCGAGCGGCCCCGTATTTTTGCCACTGGCCTCTAGATACTTCCAGGACGGCAGGAAGTGCAAGTGGTCTCTGAGATCCTGCACACAAGTCTTCCAAATAAAGCCTAAGTTTTCTAAGATTGACTTTTCAGGGAGACATTGGCAAGGAGCATCTCACAATCACACAGATCTAGCCTGGAACCCACTGAGCTGGATGGTGCTGAGTGACCATTATGACAAGAACTGGGGACGCGGGGACAAGTCAGAAGGAACTGGCCACGTGGGCCAGAGCTCGGGGCTCCGTGTTCCACAGCGGAGCTGCAGACACAGACGGCCACGCTGAGCATGATGAACCGATGCCCCAGAGTCTACTCTAACCGGGTTTCTATTTCAGAGGTGGTGTCACCAAAATCGGTAACAGAAGAACGGAATCATAAAATACCGGTGATACCGGGGACCTCTGCAAACCCTCCCCAGCATCCACGCCACACAAATGAGAAAACCGAGGCCAGCACACGCGTGCACGCTGCCTGTGGAGGATGTTGGGGTCCCGCTGTTGTAGGGTTTCTCTTGACAACAGCTGGTTTGTTGGGCCATGCCCACCTTAAAAAGATGCACTCAACTGGTAAATCAGCTAAAACAATGCTTTCAGCCATCAACTTGGCTGGCTGGGATAACAGGAATTATTTAACTGCCTAGAAACGGGCCTGGACATTTGGTTGGAGTCCACACACAGGGTCCTCAAGTGACTCCCGGTGGTTCCCAGATTTGCACTTCAGACACGGGGATGGCAGAACGTGTTTGCAAAGTTGGCCACCATGCTCAGAGCAAAGAGGACTTGCCTCAGACAACATTCAGCTTCTCCCCTATGAGCCGGCTTCCTTCCGACAGGTTACCGATGGTCTGTTATTACTTCTATGGACAAATGACCTACAAGTAAGTGGCACCCTCCGACCAAAAGGACAATCTACTCAGCCAGTCGAGCAGGTGTCAAAACCTGATGCATTGCAAAGCGCAAAACAACAAGAAAGGCTCTTACTAGGGCGCTTCTTTGCGTTTGCTTTACCTTCTTCTTTTGTCACCCCGAGGCAGCCCATCAGCTCTTGCACGGAGATGGATTTGTCATTATTCACGTCACAGTATTCGACAAACTTCTTCACACATTTTTTGGGTTTTGATTTTTTCCGAAGAAATCTCTTGAAGGGCTTAATCTCCTTCTTGCCAATGTCCCCACTGGAGTTCTTATCCAGTAGTTTGAAGTACCAGTGGACCACTCGCTCCTCTAGTGTGTGGCTGGGGTCGGGTTCGGAAAGCCTGGAAGAGCACACAAGGTCGTCAGTCACATGGCCAGCAGCCGCCTCCCCCTGCCCTTGTCCATCTATGGAAGGCACACAGTGCCCTCCAACACTCCCAGAAGGAGTGCCCTGCTCATCGCTCCTACGGTGTTGATGCCTAAGCCTGTGCTGGTTCACCATCCATATAGCAATTTTAAAAAATAATTTAGAGAAAGGAATTTAGTAAGAATATTTCAAGTTGGTTTCAAAATTGCAAATGGCACAGTGAATTTTGTGTGCTTATTACCCACTTGGCGTTGGCCAAGTCTTTAAGGAAGCCCCCTTGTCCCAGGTTCTGTGCTCCATGGAGTTGGCAGGTCACCTTGCATATCAACGCCCCCTACTAAACTCTGGGACCCCAAGGTTCCTGACTCCTTTAAACGGGATTCACTGGCACACCATTTTATACAGTAGGGGTACTGAAAGATGCAAATAAAAATACATCTTAAAGTGGTAACTAGACATTTTCCCTTGGATTAAAAAAAAAGTTTGATATTTTAAGATATAAACAAATAAAAACTCTCCTAGAAGGTCTGCTTTGAGTCAAATCTTTGAAAATGTCCCAGGTGTTAAAACATGCCTTCGCACTAAGTGGAAGATGAACGCGTGCGAGCATCTGCTGGCCCCTTCTCCCCTGACGCTCCCTCCGCATCTAGATTCTACAGGCCCGGAGTAGAATGTGCTCCCCCGAGTGTGAAAACCTAACAGGTACGAGGCATCCTGATGCGACTGAGTATTTCCAGACTTTCAGAGGAGCTTCTGAGACAGCCATTCATTCACTGCCTTCAGATTAGAGCAATCTTTCCAAGAATGTGTCAACTTGAAATGTAGGTCATTTTCTTTTTTTGCTTTATTAGGCTTGATTTACTGCTTGATTGTGACATTTTCTGTTAGCATTGCCTTTTTTTTTTTCTCTTCTCGAATCTTATTCTTAAGGAAAGAGGTAGAGAGACAGACTTTAGCTGAGGAGACTAGGAAGCTTTAGATCATGCAGAAGAGACAAGACCATCAAGGCTTTGCAGGCAGGAGTGGGGAGGAGGGCCAGCGCTCTAAGGAAACGGGAAGATTCTCCCTCTGAAAAAGCCTCTTGGCAGAAAGGGATAAACTACTGCTAATTCTCAGGGGGTCCAGTGCTTGCCATGCCGTGCCCAGCAGAGCTGGGAGCACCCTCCCACCTGCAGGTAGCTACAGAACAGAAGAGTTTGGGGGAACTTACAGGAGCTCAGCTCAAAACCCCAGACCTATGCACGTAGCACATCTGCCCCGCTTCCAGAGTTTCAGGAGTCACCCTCTGAGCAGTGTCCGTGTAAATAATGCCACTGATTGTACACTTGAACCTTAAGATGGTAAATCTTACATTATATGGGTTTTTCTACAATAAATACATAGTATGTTGACAACCTGAAATCAAACACTTTAATTCCAAGTATTAAAATCTACTCGATAGCTCTAAAATGCAATTCTAAGGCTCGAAGCAATTGGAACAAGCCACACATTCTGTTCCTCGCCCACCTCCTGCTGGCCCACCACCGGCTGATGGGACTGCTGGGAATCCCAGGATCCGGCTCCTCCCACCGTGACATGGCCCTCGGCGGCTTAACTGCATCATGGGGAAAACCTGCTGGACAAACCACCTCCAAACGCATGGAGCACACTGAAGTTCTGGGAGGGGACCCCTTTCCCAGAGCCCTGCAGCGCCCTGAGAAGCTGAGCTGCCTCAGATGCCTAACGGCTACACTGACTTCCAGCTTTCAGACACCTGGGGCTTCTTCTCAGCTCCTCGCTCCGTTGTCGAATGTAACGCACCTGCCAGAGGAAGCGGGGTCGGAGACCGCGTGGACCATGTCGGTGGACAGCGCGTCCAAAATGCTCGTCAGAAACTCATTCTTTTTGGCACCAGGACAACCTAGAAAAATAAAGGACATAAGTTTTTTTTTCATATTTCACGAGCACATTGTAATACACATATTGATTTGGATCATAATTTTTTCAAAGATTTATTTATTTACTTGAGAGAGAGTGAGTGCGTGCCTAGGCATTTGAGTGCGGGGAGGGGCAGAGGGAGAGGGAGAGAGTCCCCAAGCAGACTTCCCGCTGAGCGCAGAGCCCAGCCTCGATCTCACGACCCATGAGATCATGACCTAAGACAAAACCAAGAGTCGGACGCTTAACCAGTTGAGCCACCAGGCGCCCCTTTTGGATCATAATTACTGTAAATGACAGGACCTAACACTCAATACATCACGACATGGGACGAAGAGATTCGCAGGCGCTTATCATCAGAGCAGTCGTTTCTGGGGGGTGCTATGACTAGCCAACGTTACATCTGAGGTCCTGGCGCTTGGAGGCCTCAGGAGGCGCCCCGGGGTCACACTGCTGGAGCAGGGTGAGGCTGAGTCCTCTCCAGGTGAGCCAGAGGCCAGGGACCGCACAGGTTCAAGAGTATCTGAGTTCATGGGAAGCTCAGCTTCCTACAGCATACTTTACCTGCAAGACACCACCTGGCTGGCAACCCCTCTTTCCCACACACATGCCACCAGGACGCCCCAAACTCCACACCGCGAAGGCTATTCTCCGCCCCGTTTCAGGAGGAGGACAAAAGGGCAGGAGCAGGGCTGTCTTCTCTGGGCTCGGGGGGACGGGGCCCGAGGGACGGGGCTGCCACGTTACAGCAGGCTGGTCATTCACATACCAACATGCTACATGGTCATGTACACTCTGGTTTCATCAATTTCCTTCTGACACTTGAGTTTTTGTTATGATTATGCAAGTACTTGTTAGCTGCCAATAGCAGGAATCTATTTACATCGGTTCCCACTTCATTAAGTACACATATCAGAAAACAGATGCAAGTCCTCACCGGGGAGAGGAAGAATGGTGAAGCAAAGCTGTGCTTTCCCCTCTGATCCAGCTGAAAAGGTGGATTCTGCTCTATGGGGAAAATGCACACTATTGGGAGAATGTTACTTTTTAAGAAAAAAAAAACACTGGTCTACTTAGCTCTTCCCTCGGGGAGGCTGCGGGTGTGTCGCTTGTGATCCGGAAACCTGGGGAACCTCCTGCAGCCGCCCGCACTCCGGCTGGGAGAGGACAGCGGCCTCACCAGAGGCCGTCAGGGGCAGCAACTCTGTGAGCGGCAGGACCGGTGGCTGTCAGAACATAGAGGACCCAGGAGCATGCCGGGGGGGGGGTGCACGGGCAGGAGCTTCCAGGGGGTATGCACGACCGACCGGCCCAATGTCCCCCGTGCCACAGAGGTGGATCCCAGTGATCCCCAGAGAGCCCATTAGCCTCAAGACACCCAGGGAGGGATGAGCTGGGGTGAAGAAGATCCTGGGTTTCTGGGAAAAGCCTGGCATGTTGAATTGTGCTCAGCACAGAGCACGGTGCATATATTCTGCGTGGAGAGCTTGACCTCGGTGGGGACACAGCCAGGTCGTTGTTTGGCTGTTGGCTTAACCATATCCTCTAAATGAAGTAAAGCAGTGCACAGTTTCTAATTGGAAATGACACCTACTGTCAGGAAACAGGACTGAGGGCATGCAGAAGCTTTAGAATTCTTTAATACACAAAGGAGTTAACATAAAAGCTTAATTTACTTCTAAAACAAGAAATATTAAATCAATCCTGCTAAAGATCTTTCTTACTGTTCCATAAAACAGACTGAGTTGCACTGGTCTTCCTGCGTAGGTAAGGACTGTATTTTGCCATTGAGACATACTTTGGTCCAAAAAAGAACACTTTCCATTTTTATGTGGAAAGACATTGAACTTCCTTTTAAATAAAGAAAATAAATCAAAACTGAGTTCTTCTCAGACAGACAAAGCCACCTCCCCACGAGGCCTTCCTCACGGCGAATCCCGTCCCCCATCTGCGTCTCCCGCGTGGGTTGGCATTAGCAGGGACTGCACACACAGGTCCCCTCGTGGGGTGCATTCTGGCCACACCATGGCACTCGCCTCACAGAGGGTTGTTGAGACCCCGGTGAAGGTGCTGGGCCCAATCAAACCAGACGGAACCAGCGTCCCAAGTCCTGGCCCGACCTGGCGGGACCACGGGATCCTGATTTACCCCGGACTTTGGAAGCACCACGGCTACCGCTCTAAGGATTATGCTAAGGATGCAGGAATGGGGGTGCCATGTCCAAATCAGTGGGGAAGGTGGGGCTCGCCGCCACCAGGGTTTGGGGAACAGAGTTCCACAGGCCCTGCAGGTCAAGGGTCGGGTGGAGCTACAGGTCAGTTGGCCTGAGGGGTGGGGGTGGGGAGGCAGCCGGGGAGAGGGGCCTGGCCTCTGTTGACTGTCCCTGTCCAGCCTCCACCACCGTGTTCAGTGACGACGTTTGAGAGGACTCTCCTCCTGGATGGAGAGGAGATTCCTCGTTCTATTCACCCTGGGGTGCTCTTCGTCCCTGCACGATGGGGACTGTAGCTCAAAGCTATTTCCGAGACAAAAAGGCAAATGAAAATGTAAAACGAAAAGAAATCAGAAGAAAAAAGTTCAGAACTCTTTGAGGGACTTTTCACCCATGGGAAGTGACAGTAGTACCATGACATGGACCAGGTCTCAAAAATGTACAAAAGCAGCCCCAGGCCTGGGAAGGAGGGAGCCCACCCCAAGCCATGGGGGCTTCTCCCACACCCCCGCCTCCATCCCCTCAGCCTCTGCTTGGGGGGCAGACAGACCTTCTCGGGGCCCGCAGACCTGCTTGCTCACCCTGGCCTCTGGGGCCTTGGGGGGGCCACGTGCCGACAGGACGGCCGCCCGACAATGACGCAGGGCCCTCACTGCATGGCTCTCCTCCTTCTCTCCCTGCACAGCTGCCCCCAGGGTGGCTCCACAGCCCCCCTAAAGCTTGTGTTGTTAAAAGCACAGCCCGCAGGCTCCGACATAACACCAAGTCACTGTTTATGTGGGGACAGCTGTCCGCAGAACGCGCTCTCCAGCCGAGTGCGAGCGGACCTCAGAAGCCTCGGCCCCGGGGGCACGGCACAGGGGCGGCCCCCCAGGAACTCAGGCACGGCGAGCCTCACAGCCACTTGGAGACGCATGTGTAGGGAGAGAGGAAAGCAGACTGCGCTTCCCAAAACTACAAGCAGAGTTACTACGCCAATTTATTTACAAGTCTGTGGCAAAATCAAGCATGTCGCTTAGCCTGAAGATGCTCTGTTGATCCCATTTATCTGCAGAATCCAAGCAAAATCCTTGGCACCCAATTAAATTTCCACGAAAACACTTGAGCGCTAATCCTGGTTTGGGGCCGCAGTGTGGCTGCTAGACTGTCGAGCGGCCGCCGTCACTGGTCTCCACGGTCGCCATGCACCCAGGCTGCGGACGGGCTCAGCCGGCTGCCTCTGCCCACCCTGCACGCCATGGGCTCTCAGGAGCCTGCTGTAGATTGTGACATTTTAAAAATCATTTTACTTGCTGTCTCTCAAGATGAACGTGTTTCTCACTTTCTATGAAACGTCCTTATTTTTAAAAACAGAAGCTTTTTGTCTAGAAATTACAGTTTCTTCTTTTCCCTTTTTCCTTCAAACAGACATTGATGCATCTTCAGGACGTCTCCCACAATCACATCAGAGAATCGCTCTCTGAATGAAAGCCAACATCCCCTTCCTTCCCATCACCTGGCACGCTTGGAATGGCCGCCGAGTGGTGAATGAGGGCCGTTTCCTCAGACTTCCATCAAAAGGAAGCATTATGTGGAGATAACCCATATCTGAGGACCCACGTCAGCCAACACTGACCCACGGGTGTGGTCTGACCACTGACCAACAGGTGATCACGTGGGCTCCCCGGCCACAGAAATGGGAAGGGGGCCAGGCCTCACGCCCGGGTCCTGCATTTCAATGTAAGTGGCCTTGTGGGGTGGGGTGTCAGGGGCACCGACACTAACTAATCAGCTTTCAAGCATCTATAAATTTTTGGCTGCCTGGTTGCAGGTTTGTTATTTCACATGCACAGGGAATGGATGCAGGAGATCATTTATAAAAACAAGAAATAAGGTTGCTTTGATACTCATTGTTGAAAACGCAAAATTTGGCAGAGAGAAGAAGGAAACATCTAGAGCAGCCAAACAACATGACTGCTGAAGTAAAACCATCTGAGACACGAAGATGTGAGAGCAGAGACGCTCTGAATCCACGGCACTGCACCGATTACAGACACCACACCCTTCTTGCACACAGCCCAGGTCTTGGCGGGAGCCGGAGCGTCTGCAACAAAGCAGCGACCCAGAGCACAGTAGGACAGGCGCGGATCCCCCGAGCCTTGCGGGGTGCCGGGAGCCACAGGAAGAAGCTTGAGGGGATCTGTAGGATGACGCAATCTGACTTCCAGTCTCTGAGTGTCCTGTGAGCACTGTGGGGGCCCAAGGGAGCCGGGCTCCCCCTGCGGTCCAGGGACGGGCTTCCTGAGACAGACAGGGCATGGGGGCTCGGAGGCCTCCGGGGATGAGCTCAGGGGGAATCGGGGAGGATGTAGTACTCTGGGGGTTTCCAGCCTGGGTTAAATCAGGCCCCAACACAGCAAGTACGCGGAAAGCGTCCTCTGCAAGACGCGGGCTTCCATTCACTCTTCGAAGCCCACTGTGGTGGAGGACCTCTGCCCTGTAGCCGCAGGAGGAAGCCACGGTCCAAGCTGGCTCGGGGTCTGAGTGCCCCTTCAAGATGACAGTGTCAGAGGCCCGGGGCTCCCGCCCCCAAGAAGCACATCCTCCTTAAACTTCTTGTGAGGCTCAAGCCTACTCACAGTTTTTAGAACCCGTACTGGAGACTATCAGTGAGGGTCCACGCTCAAATAAAAGCCTTCAGGAAAAAGCAGGAAACTTTGCTTTTTTGATATAAAAAAAAAAAAATCTCGACTGTAGTGTACTGACTCTAGTTTTTCTATCTTTCCTGTATT